AACCATGCTCCACTTCCAAACAACACAGTTAGCTACTGAGCTCATTCATAGATGAATCCTTCATGTTCTAGAGGCCTAGGATATGAAAAGCAATCCTGAGAAACAAAGAAAAAGCAGGAGGTATCAAAATCCCTGACCCAAAATTATACTATAAAGCTACTGTAATAAAATCAGTATGGTATTAGCATAGAGACAGACCTAAAGAAAAATTCAGATTAGAAGATGCAGATACAACTGCAAACACACTCAGCCTACTTTATCTTTAATAAAGGGGCCAGATATATTCACTGGAGGAAAGACAGTCTCTTTAATAAATAGTCCTGGAAAAACTGGCTTTCCGCATGCTGAAGGCTAAAACTAGATAGCTGAAGCCTATCACCATGCACAAAGCTACAGTAAAAATGGATCAAAGATTTAAATATTAAAACAGAAACACTAAATTTCTGGAGGAAAATGTAAGTAGAAATCTTAAAGACATAGGGATAGGTAGAGAGTTCATGAACAAAAACCAAATTGCATGGGAAATACTTCAAAGAATCAACAACTATGATCTCAACATTTGGAGAAGTTTCAGCACTTTCAAGGAAACCTCCAACAGAGTAAGAAGAAAACCTACAAACTGGGACAAAATTATAGCTAATGTTCTCTATGACAAAGGCCTTCTATCTAGAACATAAAAAAAATAACAAAAATCAAGTCCCCTAAATTCAAAGACCCAATCCAAAAATGGGCATCTGAGATGAATCCTAACTTGACATGTGAAGAAATATAAATAGCAAGTAAATGCATGGAAAAATGTCCAACATCATTGGTCATTCGAGAAATTCAAATTAAAACAACACTGAGATTCTATCTGACTCCAGAAAGAATGGCTAACATTAAGAAGTGAGCCATGAACAAATCCTAGAGGGGCTGTGGAGAAAACAGAACCCTTCTCCACTGTTGGTAGGAGTGTAGACTGCTACAACCACCATGAAAAGCAGTATAGGGAATTCCTTAAAAAGCTAGGATTAGAGATCCCATTCAAGCCAGCTAGTCTCCTCCTGGGTATTTTTCCAGAACAACTGAAAACATCATACCACAGTGATATATGCACATAGGTATTCATAGCAGCACAATTTGTTATAGTTAAATCCTAGAACAGCCCAGATGCCCATCAACTGAGAAGTAGGAAAAGTAGGTGTGGTATTTTTACACAGTGGAGTATTATTCAGTTATAAAATAGGACAAATTTGAGACTTTTGTTGGTAAGTGCATGTAACTAGAGAACATATTCTTAAGTGAAATAAATCAGACCTGCATGGTGCAAATATCATATTGTTTCCTTTGTGTGAGAATCTGAAAGAGAAAATGGAATCTACAAAGTACAATATATACTGGGAAAAAGGAATGAACTTATTCAAAAGGAAAGAGTTACTGAGTTGGGCAGACAGGAGAGGGAGTGGGGGAAAAAGATTTATCTATGTATGTAAGCAGGATGGTTTGGACAACTGTACTGTGGATTTCTGCTGGTCTATGGAAAGAAGCAGATAATGGTTAATTTGTTTTATCTCCTTTTTTCAATTGTTTGTACTTTTTCTCTTCCTAATTTCTTATACATTTCTTTCCTTTTTTCTTCTTCCAGTTTTGCATGCATATATCTGATAATATGAATAACTGGATGGAATTCACCACTATGCATTAGAACAAATACTGTGAAATTCATATTACTTTGTTAAGTGAAATTCTGTATGACTTACTTTTTTTCTGTTTTAATACTATTTTGTACTCCTTAAAAATTAAAAAAATCTGAAATTATAAACCATAAATTTCCCACCAAACATTCCATAACATATTGCTATACATACTTCATGCTCTTTCAATCAACAGAACAGAAATGAGTAAGTTGAAATATACTACACCCTCTTTAATCCTAATTTTCTCTTTCTCTGTAGTTATCACTATTCAGAATTTGATACTGATCATTACCATGCATGTTTCAAAACTGTGCATGATAACATCTCTTATGTTTTAGATCTAAAATGTCCCCTGAAGGCTCATGCTTTCAGAAACAGGATTTGGGATAGTTGGTGAATCATGAAGGAACTAACGAACTCTTCAGTGGGTGACTTTTTTACCTCAGGCCCACGGCAACTGAACCAGCTGACAATGGACTGAAATTATAAGCCAAAATAAATCTTTACTGCCTTTTTCAGATATTTTGTCATGCTAATAGAAAGCTAAGACACTCTAAGAAATGCGTAATATTTAAAATTTTATACAACAGTATCATACTACACTTACCTGGTAGATTGATTTTTTCTCTCATAGTTTTTAAGATTTACTTATATACAATAGCTGTCATTCTAGATAACCTATTTTTATGGACTTGTAGTATGAATCATCAAAACTTGCTTTTCTGAGGTCTCACTATGTAGTTCAGGTGGGCTTCTGAACTTACTATGTAGCCCACACTGAACTGGATCTCAGAGATCCTTCAGCCACAACTTCTGGAGTGCTGGGCTTATAGGCATGTGCTACTACTCCCAACTAACAAAATTTTTCTATGAAGGACCACATAGCAATATTTTAGGTTTTGCAGCTATACATTTTTGGTCACAACTCAGTCCTGTTCCTGTAGTGCCGCCACCTTCACTTAAGTAATAAATGTGGCTTTGCTTCAATAAAACCTTATAAACACAAATTTAAATTTCCTGTAATATTCACATTACAAAATATTTCTTAAAAAGTTTTAACCATTGTAAAATATAAACACTATTTTTAGCTCAAGCCAAGCAAAACAAGCAGTGAATCAATTTGGCCCAAAAGCTAGATTGCTGATCCCTATTAAACAATATTGTTAGTACAGCTCATTAATCTATTTTCATATTATTGGACATTCTGTTGAAATTTTCTTTGTAATCTTACATGATCAATACATTTTGGCAAATGATTTTGGAGAGAAGTTATAAAATGCTTATTCTGTTTAAGGGTATGGAAAATTATATATATATATATATATAATACATATACATATATATATATTAGACAAAACTTGCTAAATTTATTCTTTGCATATTTTCCATTCTTTATAATGTTTACTTGATTTTTTTTGAGACAGGGTCTCACTATGCAGTTTGGGCTGGCCTTATGCTCACTTTTGTGACCCCCAGGCTGGTCTTGAACTCACAGAGATCCTTCTGGCTCAGCCTACTGAGTGCTGGGATTACAGGTGTGTACCACCATACCCAGTTCCAGATCAATTCATTGTTTTTTGTTTTTTTTCATTGATGTATTTGGTACAGGGTCTCACTATGCAGCTTGGATTTGTAGTGATCCTCCTGTTTTCAGCCTCTCCAGTGCTAGGATTACAGGTATGCACCGCCATGCCTGGACTTGGTTGCTAAGTGTGCCCAGGGGCAGGGCTGCCGTGGCATGCCAGACCAGAGATCGAACCCTGGGCCCTGTCCTTGCCAAAGTAGGCACATAGTCTGCTGAGCTATCACACTGGCCTCCAGATAAATTCATTTTTAATGAAGATATATTAAAATCCTCTATATAATAACTCATAATTTGATCATCCTTTTTGAATTATATTTCAAAGTAATATAGTTACAGATATAAGTTGACATTGTCACATCTCCATAATGGATGGCTGCTTTCAGTATGATAGTGTCCAAAAGTAGCTCTTTTGACATTCTGTCTTTCAGATTATTAATACTTTCTTTAAAAGTTTTGTGTGACATAGTTTTGGAATTGTCTCTTGTAAATATGACTGTATTTTAAACACTTTTATAGGCAAATTTAAAGCAGCTCTGTTGCAATATTTAAAACAATATACTAGACCTCCTGTTCCTAATTTTGATTTTCTACTCATCTGTGTATAACACTGGCAAATTTCTTTAATCTCTCCATGCTTCAGTAAAACAACTTTGGAGATTAGTACTTCACTATTGGTTATTGTAGAGATTAAATAGGATAAAATTCTTAGAACAGCACTTAATCTGTAGTAAGCATTTGCTAATTGCTATTTAGAATGTTTTAATTGTGATTACTTTAATGGTCTCATTTCTGCCACTTTTTTTTCTTACGACACTCCCCTGTTTACTACCTCCTTTTCTGTCATTAATCCCTTTGTTTTGCTCTATTTTGCATGTTCTTTACATTGCATGTCTACTAAGTGATTATTCTTAAAATTTTTATGGTTTTATTTGATGTAAATATAGTCCTATATAAATAAATTAATCAGAACGAACATTCTCATTATCCCTATTCTAACAATGTTTTCTCAGATTCTTTCTTTATTTGGCATCCATTAATTACAAGGCCAAATATGACCAAGTTACCATGTCTCTGATCCACAGCCCATGTACTGAACCACTTCCTTATTTCTCACATACTAAGCCAATTTCCCTGCCTTAAATCAACAGACAAGCAAGTTGCAAACATGTAGGGTCACTCTCTATGCTCCAAATCCCAGTAAATTATTTAAACCAGCCAATCCAGTTTATCTGCTCTACTCACAGAAACCCTAATAAAAGCTATGGTCTAGACTTCCCCTTCCTCCTGTTTCCTAGCCACATCTGACTCTTCCCTATATGACCACAAACAGCAGGTCACCAGATATGCTCCCTTGCCAAGATGGAAGACAAATAACAAATTCTCTTGATGGCACTAAAATTATTTTGATATCTCCTTACTCAGTCACTTTCATAACTTTTAAGTTTATAAACCTGCACCTATAAGTTGTTATAACTTACAAAACATTGCTCATGCTACTTAGTGATCTCTTCTTCCCTACTCTTTAGGCAAGCACTGGTGTGCTTTCTGTCCCTATAGATTAATTTATATTTTGCAGGATTTTATTCAAGCAGAATTGTATTCATGTTCTGAGTTATTTCACTGAGCAATTTATTTCTAGTCCATTCATACATACCAATTATTGTTTCCTTCTATTTTGTTGATGAGTATTCCCTCATATAAAGTTTGATGATTCACACATCCAGTGATAAGACATTTGAGTCACTTCCAGTTTACAGTGCTTATAAAGACAGTTGCTATGGACACTCATGTACAAGTTTTCATGTAGACACATATTTTCATTTTCCTGGTGTAAATAAGAGATAAATGATTACATTACATTGCAGAGAAATAAAATGTTCATCTTTAAGGAAAATGAGTTTTATTAAGTAGTTTGTTCCACTTGATGTTCTCACATCAGCACATGAGAGTTTTGTATTCTTATCAACATTTTATATGGTTAATATTTTTAAATTTTTGCCACTTTTATTACCTATGTAGTGATGAAATAATATATTTTGCTGTCTTTTGAAATAAAAAAGTTGTATAGCTAATAATTAAATTAAACTTTAATAAATTTAAACAGGCTTTTAAAATTTTGCGTTCAACACCTTTTACTCTATATTTCTAAAGGACTTGTTTTTTACTTATTACACATATTCTTTAGTAATCTTCTTAATGAGTTTCTTTGATATGCAAATGATCTTAGTCTTTATGTTTTATATTTTTCTCTGTCTAAAATGATACTAAGTACCCCAAAGATTTTTAACTTTTTGTCTCTATTGTTACTGATGAGAAGCCAGCAGTTAGTTTATTGCTATTCTTTGTCCATTTGGTTTTCTGTTTCTGGTACTTTTATGAATATTTTTTCATTTTTCACATTTTAGTTTTACTCTGATGTGTCTAATTGTGAATCTACCATTATTTATACTTCTCAGAACCACCAACACTCTTCTGATGTAAAATTTTACTTTGATTTTGTTGTCAGTTACATTTCTTTAATGACTGCCTCTCTTTCTATTATCTTTTTTCTTTGGAACTCCTTAGTAGGTAGACTGCAGAGACACTTAATCCATCTTTTATTTATTTCTCTTAACTGTTTTACAAAATATATGTATTTTTGCCTTTTTCTAAAATTGCATATTGGGTAAATTTCCTAGCACTACATTTGAATTCACTCTTTAGGTATTTACTCATGTCCAATTGAGTGCTTCCTTAAGAAGAAAGATGTAGAAATCCAACCCAGCCTGGTCCAGTATCCTTTATATAGAAATTATAGAGTAAATATTTGCTGACTAAATAGAAAATAGTTTACATATTTGACCATTTCATTATTTATAGATATATAATTTTATCAAAAGACAAATATCACATTTTCATATAACAAGTTATCATGCAAATTTGAAATTTAACTTTTAAAACAACACATATCAATATTCTGTGAAAATCAACAAATTTAACTCTTTTGCAAAATTAAAATGTTTTTGCTGGGAATTGGCTTTACAGATATCTATGCTTGTTCATCACCTTTGGAAGATTTTTTTTTTTTTTTTTTTTTTTTTTTTTTTTTTTTTCTTTGCAGCCCTCTTGGGTTTATAACAATTTCCAAGTAGGCCTAACTTTCATTTTTTTTTTTTTTTTTTTTTTTTTTGCAGAACCAGGGATTGAACTCAGACCCTTGTGCTTGCCAGGGAAGCACTTATTCCACTGGGCCATCTCCCTGGCCCCTCATATTGTTCTTATATTTGATAAATTTAATTATTCTGAATATTGTAATCTCATTGCATTGGAATTGTGGTCTAACACAAAGATAAAAATGTCTCTGTTTTCTTCTGACACTATTTGCTGGTGCTCAGCATTTTGTGTTGTATAAAGCAGCATGTAGAAAGATGGAGGTAGACTGATTTGCAGGGTTGTTTTTCTAAAGGAAAGGGTACATTTAGAAGTTTCCCCCTGTATGCCTACCAGATGAAAACTGAGGTCCCTACAATTTCTTCTACCCATAACCTCACATATATTTATTAGCTTAGGATTCACAAAGTACATAAGGAAAGATGCTAGAAACCTTTAAACATGTAAGGATGTTGGGTCATTTGACACAACCAGTTAAACCAGTAAGACCCTATAAAATGGTTGTAGGTAGTAGAGTGTAATGATCAGTCAAGACAACAGCCCATTTGCATCAGAGCTTCCCAGGATGAATCTAAATCTCAACAAAATTGTATCTTCTCTACAGAGAAGTGGGACATTTATCAATACCTTGATTGCAGGCTTGACTATATGTGGACAACAACTGTTCTCCTCTTATACATTCAGATGTCCCTGTCAGGTTGGGAGAAATTTTTATTATGGTTCAGCTTTTCTTCTTGTTCCTGCCTTGATCCTTCTGTTTGCTGGCTATTCTCTGAGAGACCAAATGTGGACATTTGCCAGTGACTATTGCTGTAGCTGTAGCCTTCCACGACGGCGAATCAGCCCCCTGGAGCACAGACTGGCTTGCCTTAGATTCTTCAGCATCACTGGGAGGGCCCTTGTTGCTCCATTCACCTGGCTGGCAGTGACCCTGCTGAAAGGCACCTACTATGAATGCGCAGCAAGTGAGTTTGTATCTGTGGACCATTATCCAGTGTTTGATAATATCACTGCCATTAAACGAGAAGAGCTGCTAGCTGGATTCCCATGTGACAGGCCATCACCTTCTTCTGAAATGAGCCTAGTGAAAGATGAAGTCGCTCTTCTGCACAGGTACCAATCACAAGTAAGTTTATTTTTTTTCCTGTCATGCTATGTGCATAGTTATTATAGTTACTGGAAACATTTCATATTTCTGCTGCTTCTCACAATGCCTGATCATAGGACACAAACTAGATGTCATTCACGAAAATGAGTTCTATTGAGCAGTTATATATAATTAGGATACCGGGGTTTGGAGTCATCTAACTCAGGTTTCAGTCTTGCTTTGTCATTTATTAACCTGAAAATATTGACTGTATTATATAACAGCCATCTTTAGCTCCTCAGCTGTGAAATGGGAATGCTAACAGAACCTATAGCAAAGTTGTTTTTTAATATATTTAGTACAGGGTCTACATGGTCTCACTACGTAGATCAGACTTGTAGTGATTCTCCTATTTTTAGTCTCCCAAGCACTGGGATTACAGGTGCATGCCACCATGCCCAGCCTCAATGGCCTTCTCAATGCACTCCAGGGGGCAAGGCCCAGCACAGCATACCGGGATTGAACCCTGGCCACTGTGCTCTGTCTAAGCAGGCACTTTAGTTGGCTGGGCTATCCAGCCTGTCCTCCTACAGCATAGGTTTGCTGTGAGGAATAAATGTATCTAAAATTTTCACTACTGTGACTAGAGTCTACACTACACTAATTTTAAATACCGACATGAATATTAATACTATATTCTCAAATACAACTTTCTTTCTATATGTATCCTAACATATACATTCTTACAAACTGAAATCTTACCTGCAATGGAAGCTTGATTATGATTTAGAAGTCTTCAGTCATGTTTCTAAATATAGCGTTCACAAAGGCTTTTGTCAGAGGTAAATGGACTGGGATGAAAGCCTGAACATACTATATTTAGAGTTTAAGTTTTACAGGTATAATTCTTGTATACTGTCAGAACACAAAAGGCCCTTGATTTTTATCAGTTTCTCCAAGGGATCTGGAGAAAAACATTTTGAAACCACTGCAATTTATGAGGAGCCTGTTTTTTAAAACTTATTGCAAAAGCACAATTTTTTTTGTTCTATAGCACTTCAGTTATTAAAGTTCAGAAGTGCTAATGTTACCTAATTAAAAAAAAATCACAATCAGGACAGAGAATATCAGCATTTCAATCTGACCTAAAGCTCAGGTAAAGAAGCTATATAAAAAAATCTAGAAAAGTATAACAAAAGTAACAGCTAACTTTCAAAAATGTTCTTGCTTAAGAAAAAACTAAAATGAACACAAAATAGTAAGATTGTCTTAAGGTAAAAATATTATGTCATTAAATGAACACATAGACTTCTGTGAAAAATAAATTTTTACAGTTCTGAATACCCTACTGGAAATTTTGATTTTGTGATAACAAAACCCATTATTTTTATATACTTATCATATATAGAATTGTATAATTCATACCTTCACTCTAATTTTTATAATTGAGAAAAAGATTAACCCTATTTTACAGATAAGTAAGCCAAATCTCAGAGTTTATGGGACTTGCAGAAATTTATAGAGCTCATAAACGCTATTATGACACACAAAGACCCCACTGTTTTCATTTCACCAGGCTGTCTTTTGCAACTACTTTGAATTTCAGTATCATTTGAAAAATAAATACTGCTTTTTATTGGTTGATAACAAACTCCAGATATTAGTTTCATTCTGTTCAATCTACTTTCTTTGGATGGGTGCTAGGCTGGTAGAAAATAATTCTAAATTCAATCATAATTTTTCTTTTCTAATCATAAATTCTTTCAGTGATTTTTCTATCACTCTAGCACACATCCGAACTCCTTGGCATGACATACAATAATTGGTCCCAAATTATTGTATATAAATAAAATAAACAAACATTTTGTATGTAAATAAACAAAAACTAGTTTGTTTTGGAAGAAAAATAGTTACTATACAACAGTGACTATAATAACAATAATATACTTAAGAGATACAAGTCTGTTAACTGACTTCCTGGGTTGCAAGAAATATAGGAAAGGGCAATACAGGAAGAAATATCAATGCATACTTATTGGTGTGTCACTGAAGACATCTTTGGAGGCTACCATTATATTCTATCACATCATCAGTTTCATCACCATCATTTACCAAATATTTATTAAGCTCCCAAAGAATATATGTATGGGCTTACAACTTAAGGTTAAAAAGGCTGAGCTCTAAGCAAATAATGATGTTTATGTATCTTATTTAAGGTTAACTAGGGGGATATAGCTTCTATCATTTCAAGAGCAGTACTTAGAATCCTTTCCACAATAGCTGATCAAATTCCTTAAAAAAAAAAAAAAATCAAGTTGAACTGGCTTGACCTACCTATCCTTTCATCAGATCTATTTCCACATGAAATGATCAGCAGTTTTTAATGTACTAAGGACTGGAAAAACAAAACTTTTGTTTTATCCTCATTGTACTCTTTGAGACAGGGTCTTGCGAAGTTGTTAAGTTGATGAGGCCAGGCTTGTACTTGTGATCCTGCTGCCTCAGCCTCCCAGAGCACTGGGATTATAAGCAGGTACCACCATGCAAAATGAAGACAGAGCTTTTCTTACATTTTAGGTCTCAATTTGTAGGAATTTCTTGACTGTTTGATGCACTGATTATTCCTGTTTTTCCTTTTAATAATTATGTGAAGATGCTAGGCTGGATTTTGATCACCTTGGCAACCACTGGTGTCCTGGTCTCCTGCTGTCTGGTGAGGTGCTGTTCCCCCCTCTTCTCTCTGCAGCATCACTACTGGACCCGCCACCTAGAAAATGAGAGAGAGCTCTTTGAGCAAGCAGCAGAAGAACACTCCCGGTTCATTATCAGGCAGCGCATAAAGAAGTTATTTGGTTTTGTTCCTGGGAATGAAGATATCACACAGATCCGCATTCCTTCATGTCAGGACTGGAGAGAGATTTCAGTGCCCAGTCTTCTGTGCATGGGTGATAGCACAAATGGTCTCTATAGCTCGCTTGGTGACAGGGTGGTTGAAGATAATGAGGAAGAAAAATTAGGAGGCATTGAATTAAAACCCTGATAATATCACCTTTCACAATTTAAGTTGCTTATCAAGTACTTGATTTTATGATGGAGTTCTAAGGCAATTTCTAGATCTTTCTTTTATTTTTTAAATTTGTTTAAAAAGCTCACCTGAATCATTAATACCATAGTCAATTTATCTGACAGTCATGCCAATACACCTTTCTGAAATTTTACGGATGGTGTGGCAATGCTTATAGTGTCATATTGGTCTAATTAAAAAAAAATCTTTGCTAGTTGCTCATAGAACTTGCTATTTTTTCAATTCTTCATATATTCTAGATATTAGGCTTTTAATATCTAATATATACTAGTATCTATAATATATGAAGAACTCAAAAAATTGAAGTACCCAAAATAAAATCTAGTCAAAAAATAGGCAACTGAAATGGACAAATACTTCTCACAAGGAGTACAAATGACCAGTACATGAAAAATGTTCAGGATCTCTAGCCATTAGAAAGCTGCAAGTCAAAACAACACTACTGAGATTCTGCATTACCTGACTGGCCATGATCAAAACTCAAAAAACAACTCCTGGTAAGGTTGTAGGGCAAAGAAAACCTGTCTTACTTACTTTTCTCATTGCTGAGACAAAATAATCCAACACATAAGGTTAAAGAAGGAAAGGTTTATTTAATTTAGCTCACAGTTTGTAAAAGTTATAGTACAGAGTTGGCTGGCTCCAAGGCAGGATGGCACATGTCAGAAGGGCAACTATTTAAGGCAGACAGAAAGTAGGCAACCAAGGAAGGGAGACAAACCTCTTTCTGTTCTTTATATTGTATCCAGCCTATTGATATTAGGGTGGGGCCAAACCAATCAGTGGACCGATTTACTAATCACATAGCCTTAATCCCAGCACCACAAACACTACATTCACTCAACTCTGAAAAAGCCCCATCTATGATGGAACAAGGCTTTTGGGGGACATCTAAACACGTCATAACAGAACCCTTCTCTCTTCTTGGTGGGAATATAAACTAGTACAACCACTATAAAAATCTGTATGAAGATTCCTGAAAAAACTAAAAGTAGAAGAAGTTGCACTTGAGAGCTATCTCTTTTGTAGTATCTTCCTAAAGAGCTAACAACATCATATAACAATGATACATGTATTTTAAAAAGACAACAAAAAAGAAAAAGAAATAAGAAAAATGATACAGAATTTCAAAACAAAATAGGAAATTAACAATGGCTATTATAATGCATATTGTTATATTCAAAGTAGTTCACATTACCAGATGTAGACATGCAAAACTGATCAATTAGGCATTAGCAGTTCCTTTCAATAAATCAATAGAAATTAGTGCAATTATCTTAGCATGTTATAGCACAACTATTCATAATAGCTAACTTTGGAAATGACTTATATGTCCATAATAGATAACTGGATAAAGAAAATCTGGCACATATACACAATGGAGTACTACTCAGTTATAAAGAAAGATAAATTTGAGTCATTTTTAAGAAAATATATGTGGCTTCAGACCCTAATTTTAAATAAATCTGGGCAAAAAGGTTATATAGCAGTTTCTCTTATAAAGGAAGCCCAAAGTGTAAATAATTTAAAGAGCATAAGATAAAAGATCAATTATAGAAATCACGGAGGTAGACTTTTGAGATGAGAAGGGTATGTGAGATGGAAGAGGAAAGGACTGGTAGGGAAAGAGGAAGTAAAAATTATTTAAGAAGTGATATGTATATGTATAAATTACCCAAAGTGTAATTATTATGTATCGCACATACATATAAAGAAAAAAATACAAATAGTTTTCATCTTAGCTTGCATCTTTTATCTAACAGTTGTGTGAAAATTAATATTTAATAAAATAAGAGCTAATAAATGCCACTTTTTCCATTCTTTAATTCCATGCCTTCTATTTTCTGTCCCTTTAATTTCTGGTTTTCTCTATTTCTGACTTTATATAATATCAAGGAAAGTCATGATGTTTTTCCTCTTTGTTCAAGCCTGGGTGTCAGACAGCGTGGAAATCAGGATAAAATGCACTTTCTAATCAGCTGACACGTGAGGAAGGTGTCACTGGGCCATAATCAAGAGGAAATGATACACTGTTGTTTCATCATCAGTACCCCAAGAATTATTTGTAGCAACTCCATTCTAGAATTTTCATGGCTAGAATATATAAAATTTATTCTACAAATCTTCCTCCTTGTTCTCCATTATGTATACTTTCTCTATCAGATTGTACCTTTGGTCTTAAGGCAGTTGTATGGGAAATTAAGACTAAAGCTTATATTTGTACGTTTACTATGAGAACACCAAATATATGCTTAATTTTCATGGCCTAACTGTGCTAAATGCAACCTCTATTATTTAACAATTTTTAAATTTATCTAGGTTATTACTAATACATATAATGTCTCATGTCTGTCTTTGCCATGTTCACTTAAAAAAACTAGCTCATTGGTCAAAATGTACAATCTGAATGTTTTTACTTATTTTTAAGCAAAAACAATAATCTTAGTATCAGTGGACAAACTGTCAATGGTCAACTTGACTTTTTTTTTTTTTACATCAGTTATTCTTATTTTAAAGAAAAAAATAAAAACAATGGTACAAAATCTCAAAACAAGATTTTAGGAGAGTAACAATGGTTAGTACATTATGTATTGTTACTGCCAAAGTAGTTTCTCATATTACAAGATATAGGCAAGAAATAATAAATAAACAACATAGATACAAACCTCTGTTTTTTTTAAGTCAACAGAAAATGGAAATATACTTTTTAAAGTTT